GTTTCCAGGTAAGGACCTGCTCCGATTAAACCCTAATTTACTAATCTACAAAGGAAATGTTTACTTGCAATTTCTGTGGCAATTTGGCTAAAACATTAAGACTTTATTTACTTCATTGTAAGCTACATCGAAATGAGCCGCGATGTTTATTTAAATGCGCTGCTGCTGGTTGCAAAGACACGTTCTTGCGTTATGAAGCGTTGAAGGCTCATTTTTATCGGAAACACAACACCTCTGGTCCTAGTAGCGTCGGAACGGTTGTTACCGACTTTAAATGCTCGTTGGCATTGTGTGACCACCAGTGTCAAACTACTAAGGCTCTAATAGCTCACTTGAAGCATCATATTGTGGAAGGGCGTGCTGTGAATTGTCCTTTCAGAGGATGCAAAAAAGTTTTTCATGTGAAGTCCTCGTTTACTGCCCACATTTCCCGGAAACACAGAGATCTTGCAGATAATATCCATGACTCATACAAATGTTCTGGTTCTCAGTCATTATCTGTTCACAATGATCCAGATAACATCGAGTCGCAAGGAAATGAGATTATTTTACAGACAGCTCCAAATGAAAGTGATAATGATATTACTGAGGATTTCAGTGATCTTTTTTTTAGAAATGTCTCTCTATTTTACTTGAAATTGCAAGGGCAGTTTCTATTACCAGCTTCAACCATCCAGAATATTGTTGAGGAGATACAAAATATACACGGGTTGGGCCAGACATACTGTTTGAGCAAACTTTGGTCACTGCTAAAAAATGAGACACCATTATCAGATGAAGACATCACCAACATTTGTGAGTCTGTCAAGGGATCTGATCTATTCTCTATATGCCATACTGGGCCGATGAGGACAGCACACTCAAGAGTGCAAACCTTCAAAAAAAACTTCAACTATGTTGAGCCTAAGAAAATATTTTTAGGAAGAGATGAAAACAGAACAGATAGGTTTGCCTACTATGTTCCTCTGAGGAAGACTTTGAAATGTTTGTTGGAGTCTGATCTGTGGAAGAAATCAAGGCAGCACACGTCTGAGTCTCCTTCAGACATTTTAAGTGACATTAATGATGGTCAGATATACAAATTCAACAACTTTTTTGTGGAGAATCCATCATGTCTCAAGCTAATACTGTACCAAGATGCATTTGAAGTGGTTAATCCTTTAGGCTCAGCAAAGACGAGACATAAGATATTAGCCGTGTATGTGTCTGTTGCCAACTTGCC